GAGAGAGAGAGAGAGAAGAGAGAGAGATGAGCGAGCAGAGAGAGAGAGAGAGAGAGAGAGAGAGAAACACTTAAGATAAAGTCGAATGAGAGCTCAATGAGTTATAGATGCAAATATTTTAAATATGTTTCTCTTATATTGGACACTTTGCACGAGAGTGTGTATTTTCTAGATATCGTAAATCTCTAAGCTAAAGAAACGATATATCATTTATTGAAAATCGAGATTCTTAATTTCACTAGTTATTTTGTCCTCGTACTATTGCATCCGGACATCAGTCCGTTCTGCTCTTCCATCAGGATCTCGTTTTGCCTTTATTCCTCACTCTCGGCGACACCGAATACAGTTTCCTGAAAACCGTCACTAGATTGTTCTGCGGGAACAGGGTCTCCGCGATACCCTCCAGCAACACGTATAACAGTCTTCTGTTTATACGGGTCGCTGAAACAGCTCGAACACTCTCAACAATCCGCGCCTCGTCGTCTCGCTACCTATGATATGTTTCAGTTCGTCCGAAAGACACGAAAGCAAAGCTACCTTAGCTGCCACTCGCGTTCTGTTCTTCATTTCCGGGTCTCGTGGCGGCTTGTTTTCGGCTTTTACGCCGTTTGGCCAGAAGCTATTCCTGTAAATATGATAATGCACTTACAATCTTTCCTTTATTCATAGATTAAATGTTGAATGAGAAATTAATAATTTTATAACTATATTCACATAAAAAACAATTGAAATTATAATATACGAATTATTTGAGATTAAAATCTCAATGATAGTCTTCATTACGGGATAATATTAGTTACTTACTTGAACAAGCGCAAATATCCAGCAACTTTCGACGGACTGGTTAAGAATGATACATATTCCACTATTCTCCTGTTAACTATGTCTCCGAACATCGTACGAATTATTTGACGTAACAGCGTTATGATACGCCGCCTCAGCCACTGATTTCGCACTTTCAGATCAAAGATCTCGTCCATCAGTAGCAACATAATTCGTAACGGTATGTTGTCGTCGGTCTAAAAATACAAATTAGAACAATTAGTTAATTTGAATGATTAATTCGGCATATTAATCGCGAACGCGTAAATACCTCTGTATCAAGACTGGCGCCGACTTTGGTGTTCTCGTAAAATATACTCGTTTTCTTAGGATTGCCGAAAAATTTGCTAAGATTATCCATCACGCCGTCAACTGTACTCAACATGTTGTCTGGCATTGTTTTGACTGCTTGTGTCACGCTTTTCATGGACGTCTTTAAAGGGTTCATTAAAGTATCTATCTGTAAAATAAATATTCTCATTAGTTATTTCCTAATAATAATCATTATTATTATTCTTATATTTTCTATCTTTATTACTATTATATTTCTTAATAATGATAATTATTATTAATAATAATAAAATAAATAATTAATAATAATAATAATAATTCTTATTAATAAGAACTGTATACAATTTATTTATATTTATAACTTGTAATTTTGATTTTTTTCAATTTCTAATGAAGATTTAAATCATTTTATCATATAAATTAAAATAAAATAAAATAAATATAAATAAATAAAAATAAATTCAAGAGTCTGCAATTTATAATTTACCGTTCTCGATATCTGCCCGCCGGTGACTCCCTTATCGTAATCTCCTTGCTCCAAGAAGGCTAATAACAAATTCTGCAGTCCCATGTGACCATCGACGATTGCAGGTTTTGTGAGTTGACACAACCAAGCATTCAACATCAACATTCGTCTTTCCAACACGGTGCGCTCCATGTTGTGAAAAGCCTTTTTCGCGGGAAAAGGTATCTTGGCTAGATCGTAATACTTCTCCTTGATCTTCTGATGCAGATCGTAGAAGTCGGAGTATCGTCTGTAAATATGCCACTTCTCCTTGTAACCCGAGTCATAATTTTTCGTGACCGCTACGGCGTATATGCCATATGTTTTCCCGCGATCGTTGACGATACCGGTCTCTATTATCGTGGCAGTAATCTCGAAGCGGCCCTGCTGTAGTTTTTTAATTGCATTCTGATCGTAGTTGTTCTCGTCCAGCTTGACAAATTGTTCCGCGTTGTTTGTTTCCACGTAAAACGAAATGTCCTTTTTCTCGCCGATTTGCTCCATCTCCGCGATCGATTCCTTACGACCATACTTCGCGCTCTTCAGATTGCTCATGTCCGCGTCGACCTCGTCGGACGCTCTATTTTCGTTCGCCTCTCCTATACTTGCCAAGCTCGACGAGGAGTTCGATTTCTTAGTGCCTTCCTTCACGGTTAAAACAGGTTTCGCGTCGTTCGTCTCGGACAATTCTTCCAGGGTGTCCAATTCGTTGTTCGTACTGGACAGGCTTATGCTGTCCAAGGATTTTGCATCGTCCTCGGAAACTGGATCCTTCAGGAGATCCAACTCGGCGAGTAACTTGACGTAAGCCAGCGATCTTTTGAAGCCCGGCAGGAATCTGTCTTCATTCTGCAGCTTTTCGTAGCAGCAATTTCTCAGCTCGTCGAACCACGTCTCCTTGACCGATTCCATCTTCGTTTTGGTCAACAAATTTTTCACCAGCATGTCGTCCAGTTGCAATTTGGGCGATGCCTTGTCGCTGAGATATTGCTGGTAAATTTTCGTGGCCGCCTCCTTCAGATTGTCTAAGTCCGCGTTTTTGCGTTTAGCGCCGATCACACCTGAACCGGACTGAGCGCTCTGGATCTTCTGCAGCTCTATGTCCGATATTTGTTGCTCGGCCGAGACTCTCCATCCGTAGATATTAAGGTAAAAGAACAGGTACGCCTCCGCATTTATGGAGGTCATATAATCGATGAAATAACTGAGAGCAATATTGTTCTTCAGCAATTCGTCTAACGGCAAATTAACTAGTTTCTGACCCGGGATGAGTAATCTGTTCCATTCCGGTTGAGCGCCGATCCCGTCCGTTTCTGTCTCCAAGCCCTCCTGCATGCCGATAATCCTCGTCTCCAAGATTTTTTTCACGTAAAGCAGGCTGTTCAATTGCTGTTTCACCGACAGATCGTCGTCTCCGCCCGAATCTTTTGAACGTAAATGTGCTATTTCTTTACAGAGTATATTTTTCGTCGCCATTAATTCATCTAAATTGTCCGTTATTCTAATTACTGTTAAAAAGATATCACTTGGTAAACTACCCTCCTTAGTACACTAAAACAAAAAAAGAAAAAGATTAAAATATTACATATGATTTAAGTAGGGAATTAGTGCTATATGAAATACACAATAAAAAATGGAAATTAAGTTTTACATTTTGCTGTTGTACATACCAGCCATATACACGCCTGATTAATGTAATCAGGATCGGAGAACAGATCCAACAACGGTCTGATTATAACGTTCACTAACAGCTCTCTTAAAATAAATCTCACAGTCAAACAATCGAAATCTGCTTTGGGTAGCACCAGGTACAACAGGATCTCGGATATCTCACCCAGGAATTCCAATTCCTGAGTGTCATTCGTGCACACCAGGTCCCTGCATATCAGGTTATTTTCCATCTGGACTTCGAGATCAAAGAATATCTTTTCCAGCGACTCATCTTCCTTCTCTTCGCCAGATGATTCGATCGGTTCAATGAGCGACGATAAGTTGGGGATATAAAATTTCGATTGTGAGTACCAGGATACATCGGTCTCACTCTTGTTCCGGCGATGAGTCGGCGTCTTCTTTGGCGTTCCACCTGACGTGCTCGAGCTGGCGCTGTCCTTTTGAATTCTGCTCGATCGTAATTGCTTCATCCTCGCGCTTGCTTGTCGATACAGCCTGACATGTGAAGCTGCATCGTCAACGAGTCGCGTAGTCAAGTAGGGTATCCAATCGACGCTCTTGACCCTGTTTTGCATTGCATAGAACTAGTTAATCGATAGGAAACAATAGTGATTTCTCTTATATTTTTTTACATATTGTAATAAATAGTATAGCATAAAGAAAAATGTCTGTCTAAAATGAATTTAATAAGCTTGAAAAAATTTGGCGTAAAAATATTCCGATTCTGATGTGATACATTGAATTAATTAATAAAAAAAATTGTATATATTTTATATATACCTATTTGCGACATTGATGGCGATTTTTTGGGCGGTATCTCGAACAGAATAGATGAACTCTTCATCATCTGTAACAACACTGTACCATGGCTCCACGTAATCTCTGATTAAGAAATCCAAGATTTCCTAAAAGAGTAACATGACAGATGTATTAACTACTTTCCAATAATCAGGAGGAAGATCGAGTCGATATATTGTTTTATAAATATTGAGTATGTACTTGCAGGGATTCATCAATGACACGGCTACCAGTTATTCTCCTATCTAATGTGAATGTCATCCTCTCCCTAGACTGATCTAATATATACTGAAAATAAAAAAAAGATGCAATATTACAAATAATTTACAAAAAAATTATATTCGTGGCGATCAAATTATTTGAAAATTACCTGCCGGAACTTTTCAGTCTTCTTAGTTATATCTTCCCTTTCAGACTTAATTACATTGTTGAGATTCGGTGAGTACGTTCGATATATACAGATCAATGTCCTGCAACAAATAATCCCTCTATTTTGCACGTATTCTCATCAATTTAATATTTTTGTTAAACTATCTCATTGCGGATATTTTATGGATTTTTGTATTTCTAAAAAAGAAAAGAACTTCTCTTACCCTAAAATTAACGCAAGCAAGCATACAAGGAGTTTTGCGAGCGTTTCCACGCCGAGGATGTAAACAAGTAGAATCGCGGCAGCTCCGAGAACGCCATACAATGGAACGTTCATCTGTAAAGATAATAATCTATTGTTAGTCGATGGATTGTTATATAGCGTAACTCTCTGGAGTTCGTAATTATCTTGTAAGAGCGTAGATAATGCGGGACAAATGTACTCCCAAGAATTTTCCATATGTGACGCGCGACAACAGCTTATCGTACGCACGTCTCTCAAATAGTAACTTATCACTCGAAACAAGGAAATAAAAAAAATAGAAAATGAGAGAATACGACTTTTAACGATGAGTCAGTAAAAAAAAACACATAATCACAGAGCACAACTGCTTATAGGAGACTTTGTAGGAATTATTTGTGCATCGAAAATAAAGTAGCTTAGTTTTATATATTCTTTAGATACCAATTAATATTTTTATATTAAATTGTTATATTCCATAACAATGATATATTCGTATATATATAATGAAATTGAATACATATATAAATATTTATAATTTTATTTTTGACCATTTTTTTTATATGGAGAATTAGAGAAATTTGAAAGAGATAATATCTTACTTATTTTAAATTCTCTGCAGGCAAAAAACTGACGTATATGTATATAAAAATAATATATTAAATATATATATGTCAAACAAAACTTGCAGATTAGTTATTTAATTTATATAAATTAATATAAAAAATGCATGCAATGTGGCAATGAAAAGTTTAATTTAGTTTTGGTAATAAAAAATATACACTATATATAAATTCTATAACAATATTGTAGATTAATTATTTATTTATATTTATGATATAGTAGACATGTCAACTTTTATTATTTATAGATTATTTAGAAACTTGATCTTTTTGGCAATACTTTTAAAACTGAAAAATGTTTTGATAAATTTGATTTCTAAATTTTTATAATTTTTTTCGTGTACATAAATATTTCAGTCATTACTTTTGTTTAATGATTATCTCGTTAGTTCTCTCATTATATTTACATTGTTACAATTTTTTAAATATTTATATGAAAATTTGTTCTATATTAATATAATAGAGTATTAATAGAATATATATTTTGTAACGTTAACACAATGTAATGAAGAAAGTATTAAATTTAATTTTTCTGCCTTATATAAACAAACCGGGAAACATATAACAGTTCGCAATAAGGCTTATCAGAATAAGTCAATTAACGATATAATAATGAAAAAGAAATGATTCATATTAAAGTTTTGTTCAAGAAATCTCTATCCAGATACATGTAACACTTGAGACACAAGGGTCAGGAGATATGAAACTCTCCAAAGATATAAATCTTCAAGATTTATCTCTGTTACAAGAGTAATAAAAACCTATGATAAAGATGCAAAGCGCGTGTCTTGCGATAAAGAAAAAAAAAATTACGAAACGTAGATGTATATACGTAGAATATATATACCTTTTGTTGTCATGTACTCTCGTCAAGATCAAACGCTCTCTCCCGCTCCATTTGCCTCACCTTTAATATATACTTATTCGCGGGAGATTCTCTCTATTTTCGACAAAAATCGATCTCGCACTTGACTCGGCTCTATTCTTATCGCAGGTGACGATTGTCTCGAACTCCGAACTCGGGTATCTGTCGCGCCTTCCTCTCCTCTCCGCGGCCCATATCTCCAGGAGAGCGCGCAGAACACACACAAAACAACTGTCACACCGCTGACGTATGGCAGGCGCGTGAGACGCGACTAACGCGATCCGCGGCTCCGTCGAGTCACGAGACCCTCGTGACACGACGCCTCTGTCATCCCCAGGTACACGCGTAGACACGGATCTGTCATCCAGAGCGAGGATGACGACGAATGTGGACTTTTTTTTTTCTATTACGCCTACCTTTGGTAGTTGCTCGTCACGCATTCGGCAACACGCATATTGCGGCTCTTCGCACGGGAGGTGCTTACGCTCGGCCAGCTGGTCAGCTAAGCGGTGCTTTATTTACATCCTCGCAGATGGTGCGGCTCGGTGCGCTGCTGAGCGATACGTCCGTCGACATCATGTCTTCCGATCCTCTCTCGTCGCGCGAAGCGAGTCTGCGCGACGTCCTTCGCGAGCGAGGCGCCACCTGGCGGCGGAAGCGCGAAGCTACAACTGTCAAACTAATTTTTTTAGGTACCAATCGGAAGGCTGCCGCTGTTACCGACAGGGAGTCACCCTGATTTCTGCAATATCGATCGATCATCCAGTGGCGGAAGGTGCGCGCGCATGCGCGCTTATGACGTCATTCGTGCGCAACTTCATTCGGTTCCCCGCGACGTGTTGAAGTGCGGCCGTCCGTGTGTTACTCGCGATTTTTGCTCGAAATAAGGTGGTTTTCGTGCGCGAAAGGGGCACAATTAAGTGGACAATGGGACGAAAGAGGCGAGTGAGCGTGAAAATGCACGAGTATCATGAATGTAAGTAATTTATCCGAAGCCATGCGTTGATTTCTCTTGTTGGGCATCGCGCCGAGTCGCTCCGCAGCTTTCGCGATGGGTGACCGGCGTTAATAGTATCATCTCGTCTGTTATCGTATTATTGATGTACGTATGTAATATTGGGGAAAGGCAAACCAATTTCGACAAAGTTTGGCCCATTTATTCGTATCGCGCTTAGCCAAGGTCATCGAAAAAGCAGCGCGACGTGCTCAAGCGCTTGTCGCGATGCGCGCATGCGCGAGCAAATCCACGCGGGAAGACGCGCGGGAAAACGCGGGAGGCGCGCGAGAAAAGGAACTTGTCGGGGCGCCATGTTGAAACTTCCTTCGTTTAGCGTGTCGCATCGTAACGCGAGTCTCCCGGATTTTTCGCGATTTTTACCTGGTCAAAGTGATCCGCGAATGTAATAAATAGTCGCCGTATCGAGCGTGGAACGAGCGGCGTCGAGTATTATTACCGTGCGCGATATCAAGCGCGTATTGAGACCTAATATTTGTGTTTTTTGTCGGTTTTAACAGGTTCGCGCAGTTTGATTTCCGTGTGAATGGGACAAGCCGAATCAAGCGAGCAGAAATACGAACATTATTAATGTAAGTAATTTGTTTGCATAATTGTAAATAATTTGTCTGCATCTCTGCATCGTATTGTATATGTGATTTTTCTCCTGACGCTATTTTAGGCATTGCGTCGAAATTATATATTTTGTACGCATATTCCTATAAATATAACCTAATTATAACATAATTATATTAATAATATTGTTAATAATATTATTAATAATAATATATAAAATAATATTAATAATATAATTTGTAATACTATTAATATTATTTTATATAATATTATTAATAGTATTATTAATATTATTAATTAATACTATTAATATAGTATTAATACTATTAATATAGTATTAATAATTTATAATTAACAGTACTATATATAATATTACGTATAACGAATCTAATATTACACTGAACATAACTAATATAATATTACACTGGAAATATACACTGAAAAACACAACTATTGATTTTAAATAAATATTTATTTCAATAGTGTCATTCACAAATTTGTTTGAAACAAATAAATATTTATCTGTTTTGAAAAAGGATTTTTTATACAAATAAATTAATATTATTAGTTTCAAACAAATGATGAATGGCACTATTGAAATAAATATTTATTTGAAATCAATAGCTTCTTTTTCAGTGTATTATTAATATTATTTTTAACAAAGAATCCTACAAGATTATTTCCAAATATTTCAACGTTCAATTTTGCATGATTTTGAGATACTTAAGATAATGTACTATTTCTATAAAACATTTCTGTATTTACAAATTTCTTGTTTTGAATTGAGAAATCAATTTTAATATTGCAATTGATTGTGTGTGGAAAAAAGGGATAGTTTTATTATGATTTGTCAGAATTTTATTTTAAAAATCAAGTGAATCGTTATAATGTACATTTTATACACACAAGGAATTTTATTCTAGCGCGGCCTATATTATTTTTTTTAATTTTTTTGTAGAAGCAATTCAAATAATAGTTCAAAACAATAAAATATATCAAAATAACAACATATCATTTGAATAAACAGAAAATAATTACTAATAACACATCTATTGAATAAATGAATAAAAAAATCCCATGAATGTGTCTCAATTTACAACGGATATCGGATTGCAAACGCAGTTGCAGTGTTTTTTTATGTTTTATGTTTTTTTCCGCCACAATGCACTTAAGTGGTAACTATGTGTAGTGAGCAGACCGACCGAATTAGCGGTCGAGCCCTCGTGAAAGGTAGTTCCTCGTTTGGAGAGGTGAGAGAAAGGAGGATAATTAAATGTCTATCGGAAATTCGTCGGTACGGCCAACGGTCTAACTATCCAGAGGTGATTGAACTATTCGGTTTGTTCTCTCTCTTTCTCTTTCTCTTTCGCTTTTGCTCGCCGTTCAGAGTCACAGGTGTCTGGCAACGGCAGCTTTATTCTATCATCGCGTGGCCGAAGTGCTTCTCCGAGTATTCCGAGACTCATCGTCTCGTGTACTTAATTAATCACTGATATTCAACGTTAAATCCCGCCCGCGGCTTCGTCGTGCTTTTTCTAAACGCGTTCAGCGCGAAATGCAAATCTGTTCCTGACTTTGTCATCGGCGACATGTTCTGTTGGCCACACCTTTCAATTCACTTCTCGAGATTTCTCCGAAAATTAGATAGCTTTTATAATTAAATTTCGCGCAAAGAGTTAATATTTACTCGTATCTTTCTCTAAAGCACATGTACAGATTAAGCTGTTTCAAGCAAATGCAATTGATTTAGCTAGCATTATGTTGGATAAATCAATGATGTAAATAAAAATTAATAAAATAATAATTTTCCGAAAACTCGAAATAAAAAAGTTAATTTTTAAATATTTATTGCCTTCGTATTTAGAAATATCGATTTAAGAGATATATCTGAATACTTAAATATTAAATAATATCGTCCTATTTTGTCAAATCTTTTAATTAAATTATCTTTTAATTTAAAAAACAGAAATTTTTTAGATCATTTTAGCGTGAAAAAATGGATTATTCTTAAACATTGTATAAGGGAAAATGTTGTGTTAGAAATGTCAGTTTTGTAAGAAACATTAGTATCATAAATATATGTTTAGAGTAGAAAAAGAATTGAATTATTTATTTGCGCATAATGACATTAATTCTTTATCCGTGGATCATTTATCTACTAAACATTAGAATGGTCAGGATTTTTCTACGTCGATAAGGTTGAATAGTGGCGAATAGTCGACGGGGAAAAATCGTGACAGCCCAAGGGATGGTAAGTTCCTTCCAATCTTTCGAGAGATCTAAGACCAGCATCGAAAGGTTCGCGAGAAGTTCTATATCTCACCTTTAGTATTGGTAAGCGACGTTTCACAAGTGGAGGATGACGCAGTCGGGACGCGCATTGCTCAAATTTTCTTCATTTGTATACAAAATGTCCCGAGAGTGTCGCGCATTTTTCCTTTCAGATACAAAATCCCTGAATTTTAAACGTTAAAAATTTTAGTTTTCAATATTTAATATATTTTGACTTTTTATCTCAAAATAAAATTGGAAAAAATTATAAATCTTGTTTAAATTACGTCATAGTTAATTGTATTAAATTCGTGTAATGTACTAATTATTGCATGTATATATTGTATTGTATATATGTTGGATTACGTTATAATTACTAAATTAAAAATAACAATTTTATATATGTTTTTAATTCTATTTTACTATACAAGCAATCAATCTACTGTAATGAAATTATTGTTAAAAGAACAGTATTCCGTAATAAAACTTTCTTCGTTTAAATTTTTACTGGATATGATTACTATAACTGTAAGATTAATTAAAAATTAAATGAAAGTATAATTATATTATTACATAAATATGAGAAATGTTATTTTTATTTATTTCTTAATTAATTCCGTAGTTATAATAACCGTATCCATTTAAACACGCAGTAAAATATGAGCGAAACGAAGTTTTAACATCTTAATTTAATATCTTAAGATGGTATAATTCATAATATATTACACGAAAGCGAACAATATTAGAAAAAAATATATTTTATACATGATTTTTTTTAAAGTTTTAAATATAAATTATTACATAAAAGCAAGAGATTATTCTATAAAAATTCTGATTTTTATACGACGTTTACACATATATATAATATTCACCAAATACTAAAATTCGCGATCGTGATAAAAGCTTTTCAATTTTTAGTAAAAGCTGATTACTTTATCGATATTATAATTTAATCATTCGTTCTATACTTATTCCATATCTATATTTCTATTACTAGATAGAAAGAGATAAATAGATATAAATTTTATAGTTTCTACTTTAAAAATTGTTTTTCTTAATTTATAAAATTATTTTATATTTATACATATAGTTTATCCAATAATAATTTTTTGGAATAGTAATTTGTGAACACTGCTATAATTTAGAATTTATATTTGTATGTTACAGAGAGGTGAAATTCAGGAGTGCGGTTAATAGTATCGCGCGTATAAGTGCGGGAGTGTCGTTAAAAAAGTATCGTGCGTATGAGTGCGGGAGTGCCGTTAAAAGTATTATGCATACGAGTGCGGGAGTGCGTTAAAAGTATCGCGCGTGTTTCAACTTTAACGATCTGAGAGGAGGAGGAGGCCTAGGAGAGGCATCGGGCACCGGCAGAGGAACCTTAAGGTAAATATCGTTATTTATATATTAATTATTATAAGTCACTTTAATTAAGTTTATTTAATTAAATTTATATTTATTTAATTAAATTAATATTTGTATGTTACAGAGAGGTAAAATTCGGAAGTGCCGTTAATAGTATCGCGCGTATAAGTGCGGGAGTGTCGTTAAAAGTATCGTGCGTATGAGTGCGGGAGTGCCGTTAAAAGTATCATGCATACGAGTGCGGGAGTGCGTTAAAAGTATCGCGCGTGTTTCAATTTTGACGACCTGAGAGAAGGAGGAGGCCTAGGAGAGGCATCGGGTACCGGCAGAGGAACCTTAAGGTGAATATCGTTATTTATATATTAATTATTATAAATCACTTTAATTCAGTTTATTTAATT